CCGCGTTCGACTACGTGGGAGTCCAGCGACATAGCCATTACGCTAACTGCTGGTTCCCTAGCAAATTTTTTAAAAAATAAAATTATAGGGATCAGCAGATGGCATAATAGTTATGTCACTGGCCTCCCACATGACCAATTGCACTTCAAGTCCTGGACCCAGAGGCTTGAAACTCACGCCAGGCTCATGTGCATGTGTGCCCAAAATCCCAGAGGAGAATGGAGAAGGGATTGCAGTGTGTCATTCCCCCTGGGGCGGAGGTGATTTCTCACTTTCTGTCTCTCAGTCTCTCTGTCTCTCCAGTGAGTGCACGCACCCTATAGCAAAGATCTCTCTAAAAATAAATTGATAAAAATTGAAAAAGATAAAATTATAATGCCACAAAAAATATCCTTCTAATATTTATTATTGTTTTAGTACAGAAGCTGTGGTACTCTCCAGAACCAAAATGTAATTCCTAGAACTAGAGGGCCCAGGAAACCTGCCGTCCCCTCTGGTGTGTGCACTGCATGCACCAGCTGAGCTCGGTTCACCAGAGCTCGGTTCATTTACTGAGCAGATAGTTAAGGACCTCCTTAATGTCAGTGCAGCATTAGGTCCAGGGACTGCAGAGTAGAATGAGACCCAGTCCGACCCGCTGCGATCCTCTGACCCAACATGGGAACAAATGGGTAAACGGCGCACACGCTGCAGGAGAGGTGCTTACGGAACACCCACGCCGGTCACGCCACGCGTTTCTTTGTTTTGTTTTGGTGGCTGCCTGAGACCAAGCTGTGGGGCACGCATGGACTAGAACCCTGGGGAGCTCCTTTCCTAAGAGCCCATTGACCAGAATGGACACTGTTTTTAATCACCTGCCGAGAGAGAGCGAGAGAATGTGTGTGTGTTTCTATCTGTACTTTGGCACTAAAGATACTTCCCCCGAGCAGAAGCAGAAGACATTAATATGTTGCATTAAAGATAAAATGCGAACCTTGGCTTACTGAACACGGAACAGTGAATGGTCTCCCTTCCCAGGGGCCCTCTGTTGCATGATGTCTGCAATGCAGAATGACTGGGGCATTTGTGGGGCCAGGGCTGCAGCCCCAGGGGGACAGGGGCAGGGCGAGGGGAGTAGCCCGGTCATGTGTGGGCTTCTTGGCAGGTTGATTTCCACAGGCTTTGACACCTTTAAAAATTGTATGAAATCCAAGAACTGGTTTCCCAACTCTTTTATCCAAAATAAGGGAAACTGAAGTCATAACATGAAAAATGACTATAATCGTTCAACCGTACAAACTTAATTCACACAGAAATTCACAAAGTGGTTTCCCTTTGCCTTGAAGGGTGTGTAAACTTAGCTCTGTACATGCACAGATGGCAGAAGCCCTGAGGCAGGTGACAGCACCAAGGGGCCCAGGGTTCTAGACCATACCCACGCCCACTCCTGTGGCACACACACCTGCCAAAATGCAGCAAAGACACATGCCGTATTCGGGGTCAGGGTGCTTCCATCGACATCTCTACCACGGAGCTTAGACTGAACTGGAGGACCCGTGTAGGTAGAGCGTTTCTCATTCTGCTCTGCAGTCCCTGGCCTAGTACTGTACCTCATACCAAGCAGGTCTTCGTGTCTGTTCAATTAATGAGTAGAACACGGGTACTCACATTTCCTCTGGAAGATCAGAAAACTTTGAGCACCCTGTGGAATTTTCCCCAAGAAAGTGCTCTTAACACATAAATATTTCCTTCTGATGTCTTGAGGCTAAGTTGAGCAATGCAGACCCCTCACAGGGTTAGACTATGTTGGAACATATCTTTTGGGTTCTGAACTCGTTTACTGACAGTTGAACTTGACACTGAGAAGAATATGAATGTTTTGCTTTATAGGCCATTGTTGGCAGGAAAAGTAAAATTCTGCAGTTTTCTGACAGATGGTACTAGACAAATCGGGTCAAAGGTGCTTATTCTACTCCATTTCTATAAGTTCCTGAAATTACTTTTCATTCTAAAAGGGCTTTGACAGCAACAACTGTACCTTATAATTGCACAGAATTTACATATCTGCATGCATTAGTTTATACAACTCTGCCAGTCGTTTGGTGTATGCGGGGGGATGCATGAGAAAAGGTTGTTATCTAATGCTTCATAGAAAAGGGCAATGACTTTTATTTTGTTTTATTTTATTTTTAGAGAGAGATTTTTGCTATAGGGCACACGCACTCACCAGAAAGACAGAAAGCGAGAAATCATCCTCCATGGGGCATGGCCACACCACAATCCCTTCTCCTCCATTCTCCTCTCAGGATTTTGGGCATGCATATAGCCTGGTGTGAGTTTTAAGCCCCTAGGTTCAAGTCCCAGACCTAGTGAAGGAGCCTGGCTGCAGGTCTCTCCGGGGGTCCTTTACAACCAGAGGACCCAGGTCCAAGGGGTTAGGGGAGGCTGGCATGGTGGCAGGAGTGGGAGGAAGGGGCTCGCATGGCACCAGAGGAAGGCTGGTGTCTTTCATGATTCTCCTAGAGCCCTGAAACTTTGTGAAGCTCAGGAGCTGTTCTGCATGGATCGCTAACCTAGGACAACTTGGAATGCCTGTAGCACCAAGCCAAGGTCCAGCAGCAGGGTGTTTTCTTTAGAGGTTTTTGCCTTGATGCACGTGCTCATAGAGAGACAGAGATGTGAGAGAGAAAGTGAGAAATCACCCCTGGGGATGGCCACGAAGCAATACCTCCTCCTCTACTCTCCTCCTGAGCTTTTGGGCACGCGCACACACACTGTGTGAGTTTGGAGCCAAGGTCTAGACCATAACCGCGGTCAGCCACGTGGGAGTCCAGCGATGTAAGCGCTCCACCACAGACTGGCCCCAGCAGCAGGGTGTTCTGATAATGAGGTGTGTGAGAGCAAGAAGGGGGTCAGTGACCTCCACGTACACAGTAGCGCGTGCTTAAGTAACCTCAGCCACCTGCCAGAGGAAAGTGATACTGGCGCTAAAAGCGAGCCGTGCAACACGTGCGCAGGGCGTCACCGGGGAGGCCTCTCATTTCACTTGTCCTGCCCCAGCCCCGCTCACTGCACACCCAGAGCTTCCTCCCGGAGTCTCGGCCTGCTGGGGTGGGCTGTGACAAGGGATGTGGAGGATGACTTCGTTCTCCACCCCAAGGCCCAGTAGAGCTGAGAAGACTCGATCCTCAGACTTTGGCTGAACAGTTGGGACAGAGAGGCCTGGAATGGGCTGGGGGTGCCAGGCTCCGAGGAAGTGGTTGCCAGCTCACCACAAGGGGACAACTTGCTGAGTGGAAAGGCCTGAAGGAAGGAGGGAGGAATGGAGTAGGGGTTCCGAACTGAGGACACCATTTCAGCTCCCAGTGTTCACTTGCCCCGGCGATAAATTCTCTGTGGGTTGGCTAGTTTGGGTGGGGTTTCTGTCATTGCAACGGGAAGAGTCTTAACCGGGACTGATGTTCATGACATCACTGAGTGAAAAGCAGGTTCCAGAAACACTGCTCTGTGTGATTTCATCTCAGTGGTTTTTAAAGCATGCCACATGTTCATGTTCGTGTGGACAAAGTTCTGACGAGAGACGAAAATGTTTGCAGCGTTCTCTCCAGGTGGACTTTATCTTAGTCTCCTTGCTTTTGTCAATTTTCAAACCCAACCTAAGATAAATGTGCATCCTACCTGCCGTTATTTGGAGAGAATGACGGGAAGACGCTCAGACCCAGAGCCCAGCCTCTGCAGCTCCTGGACCAGAATCACAGAACTGAAGTCTTTTGCACTTAATTCAGTGTTTGGAGGGCGCCCCACCCAGTAGGCTCTAGCACTACTTCCTGCCTAGCAGGTGCAGTGCTGTTGCACGTATGGCCATGGCATGTCCTGTCATCTGTGTCCACCCCCGATGGACATCTAGACTGTCTCACTGCCTGCCTTTTGCTCACAGAGCTGCTGTGAACACTCGCATGCATGCGTTCTTGTGGACACACGTCTTATTTCTCTTGGAGTTTTAGAAGTGGATTTGCTGAGTCTTACGGTGGATTTCTGTTTAACTTGTTAAGAAACCGTGGGTCTGTTTTGCAGCGTGGTTGTACCAGTTTACATTTCCCTCAGTAGTATCCAAGACTTCAGCTATTCCTAGCCACTGCTCCATATCCGTTGTTCCATATCCACTGCTCTGTATCTGCTGCTCCATATCCACTACTCCATATCCACTGTTTCATATCTACTGCTCTATATCCACTGTTCCATATCCACTGTTCTGTAGTCATTGATCTGTGTCCACTGCTCCATATCCACTGTTCTGTATTCATTGCTCTGTGTCCACTGCTCCATATACACTGTTTCATAGCTATTGCTCCATATCCACTGCTCTGTATCTGCTGCTCCATATCCACTGCTCTGTATCTGTTGCTCCATATCCACTGTTCTGTATCCACTGCTCCATATCCACCGTTCCATATTCACTGTTCTGTATCCACTGCTCCATATCCACTGTTCTGTATCCACTGCTCCATATCCACTGTTCCATATTCACTGTTCTGTATCCACCACTCTATATCCGCTGTTCCATATTCACTGTTCCATATCCACTGTTCCATATCTGCTGCTCTATAACCACTGCTTGGTATCTGCTGCTCCATATCCTCTGCTCCATATCCACTGCTCTGAATCTGCTGCGGATATCCACTGCTCCACTTCCACTGCTCCATATCTGCTGTTCCATAACCACTGCTTGGAATCCGCTGCTCCATATCCAGTGCTCCATATTCTCTACTCAGTATCCAGTGTTCCGTATCCTCTACTCTGTATCCTCTCCTCTGTATCCACTGCTCCGTATCCACGGTTCTATGTCCACTGTTCTCTATGCATTGTTCCGTATCCACTGCTCCATATCCACTGCTCTGTATCTGCTGCATATGTCCACTGCTCCATTTCTACTGTTCTGTATCCTCTACTCAGTATCCAGTGTTCCATATCCTCTGCTTTGTATCCTCTACTCCATATCCACTGTTCTGTATCCACTGCTCCATATCTTCTACTCAGTGTCCAGTGCTCCATATCCACTGCTCTGTATTCATTGCTCCATATCCTCTACTCCATATCCACTGCTCCGTTTCTGCTGCTCCGTATCCTCTACTCAGTATCCAATGTTCCGTATCCTCTGCTTTGTATCCTCTACTCCATATACACTGCTCTGTATTCATTGCTCCATATACTCCATATCATATCCACTGCTCTGCTGCTCCATATCTCCTCCTCAGTGCCCAGTGCTCCGTATCCACTGTTCCATTTCTGCTGCTCCGTATCCTCTACTCAGTATCCAGTGTTCCATATCCTCTGCTCTGTATCCTCTACTCCATATCCACTGCTCTGTATTCACTGCTCCGTATCTTCTACTCAGTGTCCACTGCTCTGTATCCACTGCTCTGTATCCACTGCTCCATATTCACTACTCCATATCCAGTACCCCATATTCTTGTCAGCACTCACATCAGTGATAGCTGTTCTGGTGGGTTTAGAGGTTTTCACTGTGGTCTAAGTTATGTTTCCCTGTGAATAGTTATCACTTCTATTTTCAGAGGTGATAACTTCTATAGGGCCAGAAGCGGCCCTATAATTTATGTAATTCCTGCTATTCTGCATTAGGCCCTTTTATGATAAACTACGTTGTAGAACTTTTAGTCTGTGCTCTTCCCACTTCATGCCACTGCCTGGCTGGACTCGGTGGCCTGTGGCTACACGAGAGGTGAGGAATCCACTGGTCTGTTGTGGGCTTGTTGGGGGAGCTGGGGCCCAAGAAAGTGGACTCCTCCTCTTCTTTGTGGGTACCGGCTCCCTGGAATACACACATAAGCACAGTGTTGTGCTCTGGCTTTAGAACGCCGGCGACCTCGATGGAGTCCCAGGCGCCAGGAAGCCGCGGGCATTCACAGGGTTCCTGTGCTGCGCAATGTCGCCATCCAAGCCACACACAGTCGTGCTGCACTGTGTTGCTCATGCCTTTATGTTTGTTGAGTTTGGCCAGAAACCTTCGCCCAAATGAATCACCGCGTTCTTTACTGGGCCCAGCTCGGTTTATGGGGCTCTGGGGCTTCCTAACCACCCACAGTTGTGTTGCATTGTTTGGGCCCAAACTTTAGGAAAATTCTAACCCTTTTTTGGCCTCCCTTCTTACATTTTCATTTCAGCTCAAGGCACAGCTGCTGGTGAGGACTTCCCAGCGGGGAAAGTAGAGAAATGAGCACCCACACGAGCTAAGCTTCCCACGCTCGCCCTCCACACGCACGCCGCTGCCTCCGTGCGAGCCCCTCTGAGGTTCCTGTCAGGCCGTTCTCTTCATGCACACGCACTGCATGGGGAAATGACATGGGTCCAGCGCTGAACTCTGGCATGGGGTCCTCAGGAAAAGGGGACATTTAGAGCGTGCCCTTCCCTTTAGGCAATGACGTGAGACCCTTTGCAAAGAGCCAGTCTCAATTGTGGCCTGAAGAGTCTGCAGCCCTGGCTGCCCACACACCCGGAATTGCTACAATCAGGCAGAACCCTTTGAGGGCCTAGGACGTCAAAGCCAGAAAAGGGCATGTGCGTTAGCCACAGCCACTCTTCAAATGAGCCTCCTGAGAGTCCCAGGAATGCTGGGACAGAGTCCTCACCAAGGGATTGGATGGTGTTCAAGGCATGTGTCGGCACATGGAAAGCCACGGTACTGTGGCCACATGCATCGGCCCGTGGGAAGCCATGGCACTGTGTCCCCACATGCATCGGCACATGGGAAGCCATGGCGCAGTGTCCCCACATGCATCGGCACGTGGGAAGCCATGGCACTGTGTCCCCACATGCATCGGCACGTGGGAAGCCACAGTACCGTGTCCACATGCATCGGCACGTGGGAAGCCACAGCTCCGTGTCCACATGCATCGGCACGTGGGAAGCCGCAACGCTGTGATCTCACATGCGTCGGCATGTTGGAAGCCCTGGCGCCGTGTCCTTACATGGGTCAGCACATGGGAAACTGCAGCACTGTCCCCACATCTCTCGCAGCCCCTCAGTCTCGGCCGCCCCAGGGCTGCTGAAAGGCGGCCTCAGCTTTGTGAGCTGAAAGACGGCATTATCACACAGGAGAGCTGGGCCGCCTGGGCCTGCCCCCAGCAAGGTGGCATGGCCTTTCTGCCCTCGCACGGCTGTCGCCTGGTCCTGGGAGCCCTCAGTTCCCCATCGTAACCCGACTAGTAACCGCTGTCCAGGATGCCTGGGCGAGTCTCCGTCCAGCTCCTCTCCAACCTCACCTGACTCTGGATTTTTATTTTTTAATTCATGTTATTGCTTTAGAGCAGTCTTCGGTTCACAAAAAAATGGAGTGGGGGACCAGCAGTTAGCGTAATGGCTATGTCACTTGACTCCCACGTAGTCAACCACGGTTCGAATCCCGGACCTGGTGGCTTAAACTCACGCCGGGTGCACGTGTGTGTGTGTGCCCAAGATCCCAAGAGGAGAATGGAGGAGAAGGGATTGCTGCATGGACATCCCCCCTGGGGGGTGATTTCTCACTTTCTGTCTCTCTGTCTCTCTCTGTCTGTCTGGTAAGCGCATGCGCCCTATAGCAAAAACCTCTCCAAAAAAAAAAAAAATGGAGTGGAAGACAAAGATATGCGTGCCCCTTTCCCAGATGCACACTCAGCTCTGCACCCACTCCCCTGACAACGTCCCCCAGAGTGGACATTTGTGACTGCTGGCACACTAGCATCGTTTACACTGTGCTTCGCTCTTGGTGGCGTCTGTCCTGTGCATTTGGATGTGTGTCCACCGCTGTAGAGACAGGGTGTACAGAGTGGCTTCCATGCCCTAAGGCCCCTCTGTGCTCTGCCTAGTCATCCCATCACCACCTCAGCCTGCCGGGCCGATCCTTCCGTTGGGATCATGCTCGACATCGCCTCTTCAGGTGGGCCTCTTCTACTCAGTCACATGCATCTAAGGGGCCTCTGTTCTCCTCAGAGAACTGGTCTCTTTCCCCTGAAGAGGACTCCCCTGGATGTGCCAGGTTTATGCACTCACTGCCGAAGGGCAGCTCGGAGGCTCCTGGGCTCGGGCAAGTCTAAATGCTATAAGCGTCCGTATGCAGGATCCTGTGTAGACTTGAGTTTGTAGGTCATTTTGGCTCATACCCAGGGGCCTAATTGCTGGATCACGTGGTAAGAGTTTGTTCAGTTTGGTAAGAAGCTGCTGGTCTGTTTTCCAGCATGGAGGTGGCGGTGGTAGTGGCGTGCGACGTCCCACCAGCACCACGTGCGCTCCCCCATCGCTGCATCCTCACCAGCACTCGGTGTTGGCTAGCGTCTGGACCACAGGCGGGGAGGGGGCTCTGGCTCGCGGTCCTTAGTGGCTCCTGGCTGCCGTTCTAACTCGCAGTTCTCTGCTGACACGTGCTGTTGGCGGATTTCCAGTGGTCTGATAAGCATGTGTTCAGGGCACAAGAATAGCACAAACACTCAAAATAAGTTGAGTGTTGAGGCTACTTGAAATAATTTGCTTTGGACTGTTTCATATAAAGCTATGAAATGATGCTCATGAGAAAGCTACATTTGTCAACTTCCTTTGACTTGATTTAGAGCTGAGGTTAATTTGGTGTTGACTTAGTTGTGGGGCCGGCCGCCATCATTCAGGGCTTTGTGCAGTGAAAGGACTTCACTGGCACTCTCAGGCCTCATATCCAGTTAGCAGGTCTGTCCAGACCACCATGACAATGTCACTTCTTGTCCCCCAACCCAGCCCCATGCCGGCTTCTGTGTGATCTCCATAGACCCCAGACACGGCCTCTGGGCTGCCGCTCTGGCCCTGCCTCCCTGCCTCTGCTGAGCTATGAGTTATTTTCTTGGAAAAGGAAGCCATCCTCTGTGATTCCCCGTGAGCCACCGTGTGTGTGTGTGTGTGTGTGTGTGTGTGTGTGTGTGTGAGAGAGAGAGAGAGAGAGAGCCAGATCTGGTTCTCCCAGTTACCTGGGACCTTCTCATTCCTCTCGGACCCCTCAGTGTTCCCCATGCTGCCCTGCCTGGGCCCCGAGATGCCATGGGAAGATGCCCTGACCAACCTCAAACTCGGAATCAGTAGGAAGGCCTTCAGAAGAATGCTCCGCTCTACAGAAAGTAAGCTTGCAGAAGACAGCACCCCAGAAGATGACAGAGGGAAGGAAAAGTA